TCTTCCCTTTTAGTTCAGTTACACCAACTTCAACCTCATTATCACCTCAATCCTCTTCTAGTATATTTGACAATTGGTCCTCTCCACCATCTGTCATAAAAGATGTCTCATCTCCTCAACCCCAATCTATCCGGAGAGTAGAATCTCATGAACCCAGAATTATGGAGGACGTCTTTAGCAATCCTACTCAATCATATAGTTTTTCTAGTAATCCTACCCAATCTGAAATTTTTTCCAGCAATCCCACCCAATCTGAAAATACAACATATGATAATCTTGCCAATCCCAACCAACTCGTTCAAAATCCGACGTCTGATGAAGCTCTTGAATCTGTTCCAGTCACTTCGGAGGTTTTAGTTCCTTCATCTCCTCTTTTAAGACAATCTTTTCATCTAAAAGAAACTCCTGAATAGAATAAAGACTACATATTACCAGCTCAAGCCAATCAATCTTCGGCTATGCCAAGTCCAACATCAGGTACTCGATATCGTCTTTATCATTATCTTTCTTACTCTCGCATATCTTTAGCACATTGCATTTTCCTAGCTAACATTACAGGTCACACATAACCTTCATCATATGCTCAAGTTGTTCTTGATCCACATTGGCGACAAGCCATGAATGCTAAATTAGAAGCATTAAAAGATAACAAGAGTTGTAGCTTAGTTCCACTCCATGTTGGTCAGAAACCCATTGGATGCAAATGGGTTGATAAAATAAAATACAAATCAAATGGAACGATTGAGCGTTATAAGGCTCGTCTTGTCGCAAAGGGGTATACTCAGATTGAGGGAATCGATTATCAAGAAACTTTTTCTCCAACAACAAAACTCACGACACTTTGTTGTCTACTTGCAGTTCTTTCTGCTAGAAATTGGTTCGCTTATCAATTGGATGTCCAAAATGCTTTTCTTCATGGAGCCCTACATGAGGAGGTGTACATGGAACCTCCACCAGTTCTGCGCCGACAAGGGGAGAACACTGTATGTTGGCTTCATAAATCTTTGTATGGCCTGAAGCAAGTATCGAGAAATTGGTTTCTCACATTTTCAGAAGCTATCCGTAAAGCTAGTTTTCAACAATCAAAGGCTGATTATTCCCTTTTCACCAAGGTGAAAGGTTCATCATTCACAATAATACTTATATATGTTGACGACATACTTCTCACAGGAAATGAACTTCAAGAAATTGAACGCATCAAAAGGTTTCTTCTCAAATGCTTCCGCATTAAAGTTCTTGGAGAGTTGAAGTATGAAGAGCATCTTTATGTCTCAGAGAAAATATGCAATAAACATTTTGCAAGATTTAAGAATCTTAGGAGCAAGGCCTGAAAAGTTTCCAATGGAACAAAATTTGAGGCTAACTTCTATAGATGAAATTGTACTGAATGATCCAACAAAATACAGAAGACTAGTTGGTAGATTGATTTATCTCACTGTCACAAGGCCTGACATTGTCTATTCTGTTCGGACACTTAGCCAATTTATGCAAAAGCCTAGAAAACCTCATTGGGATGCTGCTGTGCGAATTCTCAAATATATCAAGGGTACTCCTGGTCAAGGTTTGTTATTTCCTTCGACAAATAATCTTATTTTAAAGGCCTTTTGTGATTCAAATTGGGGTAGTTGTCGAGCCACAAGAAGGTCCGTCACAGGATACTGTATTTTTCTTGGAAATTCACTTATCTCATGGAAATCAAAGAAATAATTAGTTGTTTCTAGATCATCAGCAGAGACGGAGTATCGAGCTATGATGAACACTTGTTTAGAACTTACATGGTTAAGCTATATTCTTCAAGACTTAAGGATCTCAAATGTGACTCCTGCAAAACTATTTTGTGACAATCAAGCTGCCTTACATATTGGAGCGAATCCAGTCTTTCATGAGCAAACAAAACATATTGAAATAGACTGTCACATAGTTTGAGAAAAGTTGCAAACAAAACTGATAAGTCCTTCATATGTTCCTACACACATTCAATTAGCAGACATCTTTACAAAGGCTTTGGGAAAAGATCAATTTGTAACTGTTAAATTAGGTCTTAGGCCTAACTCACACTCCAAAAGCTAGCTCAAAGGGAGGAGGATTGCCTAAGCCTTATAAGGAGTCTACCTATCTCATTAATCACAAATGTGGGACTTTTTGCTTTTTAAACCCCCCACCTCACGCTCAGTGCTTAGCATCTGATGCGTGGGCATTTTTTGGGCAATTTTTGATTTTTTTAAGGCCCCAACATTGGGTGAGATGGGCCTTGCTCTGATACCATGTTAAATTAGGTCGTAGGCCTAACTTACACCCAAAAGCTAGCTCAAAGGGAAGAGGATTGCCCAAGACTTATAAGGAGTCCACCCATCTCATTAACCATCAATGTGGGACTTTTGTCATTCTTTAACACCCCACTTCATGCCCAGTGCATCTTAGCATCTGGTGTATGGACAATTTTTGATTTTTTGGGGGCCCCAACATCGGGTGAGACGGGCCCTGCTCTGATACCATGTTAAATTAGGTCTTAGGCCTAACCCACACCTAAAAAGCTAGCTTAGAGGGAGGAAGATTGCCCATGCCTTATAAGGAGTCCACCCATCTCATTAACCACTGATGTGGGACTTTTGTCATTCTTTAACAGTAACATTGTGCTATAAGTTAGGATTTCATGATATTCACCGTAACACCCCGTATCCGAAACAGACCAAAAATGCAGATTTTGAGAAGTTGTAGATGCAACCCACGGTTGCCATCCACGGACCGTAGGTCAGACCACGACCCGTGCTGGTGGTCTATGGTTCACCACTGCAACCCCTCCCAGCCAAGCTTAGAAAAATTGGCAAAGTCTCGACTCACGGACAGACCCACGGTCCGTAGATCAGACCACGGTCCGTAGATCAGACCACGGTCCGTGGTCTGTGTCCGTGGATCAAGACCTCCTTTACCCAGCCTCTGACACGAACTACGGTCGACCAGCACAGACCGTCGTTCGATCCACGATCCGTAGGTCTGATCGTAGATGAGGGTCAATAGCCAGTTAGCTGAAATTGTTATTGAGTCAACTTCAGATGGTCATAACTTTTAGCATAAAATATATTATGTGTCCCATAAACTATGGTAAGATACATAATTGAATCCTCTTTTTAACGCCACCGAGTTTGCTAAAATCTGATCTCCGAGTAAAAAGTTTTGCTCGTTTTAGTGAAGCCCTGTCGGGTAGACTTGACCGACGACTCCAACCGATGGCCCGTAGGTCCAGCCCATCGATCACTCCGATAGCAGTTAAGTCAGGGGTTTTTTGGTCTTTTTCTATTTCGTTTAAACCCTAAGATACGTCGTTTAGACCCCAAGTGATGTGGTTTTAGTCAGTTTAAGCCTAGAAACATAACTAGAACTTACCTAAGTCAAATCATTAATCAAAGCATAGAAAATTAGAATCAAGAGAGTGAAAAAAGTCTAAGAACCCTATTTCAAGAATGCAACAAGGTTCCATCAGTTCCAGCCCCAAAATTGAAATATTTCTCTGTGGAATTCGTCATCAGGTATGTGTGATTTCACTAGTGGGTTCATTTCGCCCATTAGGTCCCTAGAATTCAGTCAGTTTCTTGATTCCCTTATTATGAATAGACCTAGGGTTTCTTGAATTACAGTAGATCACCATGAATTATTTATTAAGATGTTCCAAATTAGATTATCATGTCGTTTCTCGCATGAATTTCAGAACCCTAGCTATGTATTTCTTTAGTTCTTGAATTACACATGCTAGGTCAGATATATCCATTATTCAGTTATACATGCCTCAGTTATTAATGCATCATTATCAGATTAACTGTTGCATTCTCAATTTGCATGTTCAGTTTTGAGCTATTCAGTATTTACAGAAATTCAGTCATATCCAGTTAACCACTTAATTCATTGGGAGTAGCATAATACCCAGTTGGACTAGGGTTCAACGTACCAATATAGACCCAGAACTACGAGCCACGTAGGTGTAAGTCCCCTCTGAGGGCAACATCAGTTTAGTGATCACGCCAGCATGCCTCTATACCTCTGGCAGGGTATATTGGGTCCTCTCGATGGGGCGTATACATCAGACTCCACATTTAGATCATGTGGTTTTATGTCGGTTATTAGTAGCTCCCATAGTTCAGTCAGATTCTATTGCATTGACCATTTATCAGTATATTCAGTATTCAGTTTCAGCATGTTATAAATTAGTCATTGCATTTAGTTAGCTCATCATTCAGTATCTATATCATGTTCAGATTATTTCATTGCTTTATTCAGTTATATGTTATTTCAGATTTACTCTATCCTACATGCTCAGTACCTTTCAAGTACTGACGCATACGTACGCTACATCTTCTCGTGATGTAGGTTCAGGTTCTCAGCATCCAGATCACGCTTAGATCGGTTCCCGATCTCCAGTTCAACAGAATCAGTGGTTAGTCCTCATTCTCCGAGGACAATAGTCATGAGTTTCTTTTCAGTATTTTAGCCCTTTAGTTTCAGTTTTACTAGACTTGGCTGGGGTTGTCCCAACATTTCTAGTCAGTTAGAGGCTATTTTCAAACATAGATAGATTCAGCTTAGTATTGAGTTAATATCTTCCTTGTGTTAAACTCATCAGTTTTCATTTATCTCAGTTATAGTATATGGGTATTTTCTATCTTTTCATTTTATTTATGATTTAGCTTCCGCATCAGTTTATCATCTTTGGTATGCTCATGATCATGCCAACAGGGTTAGCTTGGGATCTCTTGTGGTCCTAGGTCCCGTGTCCGCGTCTTGGGGGTAGCTCGGGGCTTGAGAAACTTGGTATCAGAGCATTAGGTTTAAGAGTCCTAGGATGTCTGAAAAGCAGCACTAAGTAAAGTCATTTTCATGGGTGTGAAGTGCACCACATCTAATGAGAGGGAGGCTACGAAGTGATTTAGGAAAACTTCACTTTTTTTATATTCTTATCGTGCGTAAGGTATGATCTCTTCCTAATCCATCGTTATGCACTTAAGATCATGCCTCTTCCTAGAGCTTACGCAAGGAATGAGAATGCCAGGAGTGCAAACGCATCTCCTCAAGTCTCAGATCAGGAAGTTTTGAATGCAGAATTTTGGAACGCCAATTCAGCTTTTGGCTCATATATGACCAATGAGAACAATCAGCAAGTTCCAGTTCCTACTAATAGAAATGATGGATCAGTGGCAGTTAGAGTTTGAGATTTTGTTAGGATGAATCCACCTGTGTTTTTAGGGTTGCAAGTTGTTGAGGACCCACAGAACTTCAGTGATGAGGTTAAGAAAATCTTTAGAGTGATGCAAGTAACTAGTAATGGTAGGGTTGAGTTGGCATCCTACCAGCTTAAGGATGTGGCTCACGTATGGTTCACTCAGTGAAAAGACAACAGGGGCTACTTTGTCTTTTGTAACTCCTTATATAACATTAATCTTAGGTGTCAGTCCAGAAACTCTCTCAGAACCCTTCTCAGTCTCTACTCCAGTCGGTGACCTTGTTATAGATAGACGGGTATACAGAAATTACCCTGTCATAGTCTCTCAGAAAGTCATCTACACAGATCATGTAGAGTTAGAAATGGTAGACTTTGATGTCATTATAGGCATGGATTGATTACATTCCTGTTATGCCTCAGTCGACTGTAAAACTAGGATTGTTCGTTTTCAGTTTCCAAACGAACCAATCCTAGAATGGAAATGTAGTATCTTAGCACCTATAGGTCGATTAATTTATTACCTTAAGGCCTGAAAGATGATCTCTAAGGGTTTTCTTTATCATCTAGTTCGGGTTAACGATTCTAGTTCCGAATCCCCAACTCTTGAGTCAGTTCCAGTGGTTAATGAGTTTCCAGAAGTGTTTCCAGAAGATCTTCCCAGAGTTCCTCCCGATTGGGAAATCGACTTTGGAATTGATCTCCTTCCAGATACCCACCCTATCTCTATTCTTCCTTACATAATGGCTCCAACTGAGCTTAAGGAATTGAAAGGCCAGTTGAAAGACTTTCTAGATAAGGGTTTCATCAGACCTAGTATTTTGCCATGGGGTGCACCAGTGTTGTTCGTGAAGAAGAAATATGGTTCTCTTAGAATGTGCATTGACTATAGGCAGTTGAACAAGGTCACAATCAAGAATAAGTATCCCATCCCTAGGATTGATGACTTGTTTGACCAACTTCAGGGTGCTAGTCATTTCTCAAAGATAGACCTCATAATTTAACATAGATGAGAAAATCTTTAATTTCATCAAAGTGAATCCATATGTGAGAAATATTTTTCACAATCATGATCAGAATAGCATATGAAAAAACCTCTCACACTAGCATTGATACTTTCCTTTCAAAATATCCTAAAATTCATTTATAATAACTTTAGAAAGACATGTATATCTTCATAAATTTCATAATTCATAGGTTTATGAGTTCATCATAGCTTCATAGTTGAAAAATCATAATTTAGGCATGGGTCAACATAATTTCAACTACATATCATGTATTTACATTGAATAATCCATTAGAAAACTTAATTAACAATAATCATTCACAATTGAATAAAACCCATGAGATTGAATTGAAACCCTAACTTGAATCAATGAAATTAAAAGGAGAATTTGAAAACCTTTGAGGACCCCATGGAGGAAAGTACTCCATGGTTGAATACTTGCATACCTTAATGCCAAAAGTCCAAGAATAATAGACGATTGAAAACTTGGATGGAATCCAAGCTCTTCTTCTTCCTTAAACTTAAGAGAATTTGAGAGGATGACTTTGGTGAGTTTTAAGGAACTTAGGAGATTTAGTTGAAAGTGGGTGATTTGGGGTTAAAACGTTTCTATAGGGCTTAAGGTAGAAAGAAAAATGACATAGTTTTGATTTAAAACAATTAGAGAAAAGATCCTTTAAATAACTGTCAGACATCGGCCTATGATTCAGACATACGTATGGACTGTAGTTATTTCTACGGTCCATACAAGTCAATCATAGACCAAGTAGTGGGACCATAATTTCACTATTTTTTTAACGGAACATTTCTACGTTTCGTAGGTCTTCCTACGCTCCATAAAAACCAATCGTAGAAAACCCCACTTTGACCCTTAAAATTTAACGAAGTCTGGAACTCACCTATGAGACCTATCTACGACTAGTACAAGGAATGACGGACCACCCTGGTGAACCGTAAAAAGGGTACTGAGACTTGATTTCAAAAATTTATTTCCCCCTTCGTACAGTTTCCATCTACGATTCGTAGAAGCTTCTACAGTCCTTAGATGGGAATCGTAGACACAACCTGCAATCCAAAAAAATATTTTCCTTTTCCAAATCTTTAATGTTACATGATTATACAATATCTTTCCTAAATGCTAAATTTCATAAGGAAGACTTAGGTCAGTTAATATACTTTTTGGGAGTAGAAGTTAATAGAAGAAAGATGGGAACTTTTTCTGTCTCTATTCTTGACCTACTTGTAGACATCTGAAAGTTGGCAGCCAAACCTTGCAGTACTCCAATGGTTCCCAACGTGCATCTTACGAAAGATGATGGATAATTGTATAACAATCACAATCATACCCGTGGTGGATTATCTGTAGATGCAGACTATAATGGATCCAAAATTGATAGGAGATCGACTTATAATGTCTCATTGTTTGTAATTTTGTTTTTAATTGTGAAATGACCATTATTCCCTTCCTTGAAGCATTTTCATGCTTAGTTTGTGTTTCGAGGACGGTTGGTGTAGTCCCCAATGGGATCGAGTGTGTTTTTAATAATTTGACTCTTTTTGAGTTGAGAATTCTTGATAGGTTGAGTTTGGTGAAAATTTTGAGTTATGAGCATTGGATGGGAATTCTGCTAGTTCCATTGTATCCGGAACGTCAAGTTTGAGCAAGTAGAGTGGTTGGTAAGGTTTTCGAGCCCTTAGGTTGAGAGTGGGGTGTTTAGGCAAGAAGTTAAGCTTATGGCCTAAAGAGAGGTCTAGGAGGATATTTCTGTCAAAACAATCTTTTTTCAGAAATCCGACGATTCCATTGAGTTTGAATGTCGAATTTAATAAGGTAGCATATTTGATTTATTTTTATCTAGTCTCGAATGAATCTCGAGGGTCTGTTCAGAGACTTTAATAAGTTAGGAAGCTAATTTTGCTTATGTTGACAGTTATCTCATGGTCAAATATTCAATTAATGGCTAAAATCAGCCCCCTTTCTTCCATTTCACTTTCTTCTCCATTTTGGAAGCTTGGGAGGGAGATTTTGGAAGCATTTTCTTGTCTATATTTCAGCATGAACCCTATTAATTGAGTATTCTTGAGATGAGTAGTATCATTGAATTTTGAGTTCTTAGTATTGAGTTTTCTAAATTGTTATTGGGATTCTTGAGTTTGATTTGTCCATGTCTATATTTCAACATGAACGCTATTTTGAATTATAATTTCTAAGAGTCTTTTAATGCAAACATTTTTATTTTAAACTGAGTTTTGAGGAAGTAAAAATGAGTTTTGAGAAAGAGTTTTTAAAAACATGATTAGTATGACAGTCGAGTATGCCATCAATGTTTAAACAGTATGGTATCTAAATATTCCATCATAGTTTATGCAATATGACTTTTCGAGTCATCAATGATCATATCAAGATATGATTTTGATATATTTTTGAAAAAGAGTTTTCAAATATGAATTGAGTAAGAGTATTAGGGAACTAAGTATTCCTAAAAGGTATTAGTTTTTACATTGAGAAAAAGAGAAACTTTGATTTATAAAAAGAGTTTATGAGTTCAAAGATATTTCAGAGAAGTTACCTATTTTAAGCGGATAGTTTGAGCAATTATCTCAAACCAGAGGAAGAGTATGTTTTTAAACATTCTGCATGAGTGTATATTATTGGGAGTAGTATTGAGCACCGATATGGGAATGAGTCCAGTCAACTCAAATTCCTCCTAAACCATGTATGCCAACATGGGTACATGATCATAATTTTTAGATTAATCCTAAGTGCTTTTTGGCAGAGCTTAGTGGATCCACTTAAGTTTGTGTTAGTGTTCATGGATGGTTGGTCTATCACCCACACAAAGAATACATTAGAAGAGAACCACACATGATGTCCGGACAAGTATTTGATCAAACTCTAATCTTAAATAATCTTTAATCTCCGCTGGAATTGTTCTTTTACTCCTTATATGTGTGTGTGTGAGTGAGAGTTATAATTATGTTGATAATGTTGCCTCTTTAGCCATCAACTAGACTCAAATGATGGCAACCAATTGTAAATGATCTTCAACCTTCACTCTACACGGCCAAAATTGGCTTTAAATAAGATTTTATATAAGATTTGTTAATTCTTTGACTAAATATTTATTAGCCATACGTGAAATTGATTGTAGTGATAGCATACAAAACTTCTTCATCCATCCGAAACTTTTGGTTGCAGCATCCAAGAAAAAATCAGTGGGAATAAAAACTGAATCTGAATATTGGCTATACATCACCTATTGGATTATAAATTCATGATTTGCTTCAATTTTCTTTTACTTTATGTTTTGATGATGTTTCATCTTTACTCTGTTTATATTAAACTAAGATTTTAAATTATTTATAATATTTGTAGTGTCCTTCGCAACTATAAGAATGTTTAGAAGGTGCTAATTTCCGAGAGTGCTCTACAACTTAATTAGTGTACTGAATTTGAAACATATTCTTTGGATGTTGCATATCACTTACTTTGTTCACTAATGCCCTTTAGGTCCTCCACACTTGAGGGATGTCTTTTACAACATAAGATTCTCTGATAAAGATATAGTGATATTGTTCGGAGGACACGCTGGTATGTCACATTTCTGTATTTGTATATTGATATTTTTATCTCACTGGAAAATGTTGTTTTCTCTTATAGTTCTTTTTTATTGACTGCTGCAGGGAAGAACCCATCCATATGTATCTGGCTTTGAAGGACATCATTGGTAAGCATTCGAGGTCGAATTCTAGGTTGGGTGTCGATGTGGTGATCTCAGACGAGTGTCAGAGTTGAGGTCGGGACCTAAATCAATTGTCGAGGTTGGGAATCGAGGTCAGATCGCAGTTCAGAAACTAGGTTTTGGATCAGGTGTTAGGGATGGGTCCCGAATTGGAAGAAATAAAAGATAATTACTCATTTAAGCGTGAGAGTGTGCCAGGTCACCAAGCCTAGGTCTCTCCCTTTTCTGCTTGTCTACCATCCATATGCCTTCTATTTTTGGGATATAGGTGGGGTTGAAACTCTTTAGTGGGTTGAGACAGTGACCAGTGAAAGGGACCTAAGCTTATCATGAAGATCTCCTTGTTTATAACTTTTTTTTTCTGTGGACATTAGGAATTTATATTAACTATAGTGTTGTGCATAAATAGTAATAAGTATTTATATTATCCCCTACTTCCCATTAGGAATTCTACTAATCCATAAGATGGTAGTCTAGAGATTAAGAAACAATATTTCACCCGAGATATCACGAAAAAGGTGGTTCATGCTAGTAATTTTTATATGTATAGCCCTTCTGTTCCAGCTGCTAATTGGAGAGATTACATTTTATTTAAAATGTCTCCTAATCCTCCCAATCCAAAAGAATTTCCAAGATCATGTAGGTATATATTCTTAATATGAATTAGAAAGCCAACCAATAATTGATTATGTATTATGTGGTGATAACAATTGAGATGTGCTGTTTCATTAATTTTACAAAATTGTTGCAGGGAAATACTAAAAATTGAGTATCCTCTAAGCATATGATGCAATTGGGCTATTCCTTGCTTGGATTATTGTGCGGAGGGGCTTGGTGTTTTGGCCCTATACTATCCAACATGCCCTCAGCCAGAGCTCACCATAGGCACCAACAAACATTCTAACAATGATTTTCTCATAGTGCTTCTACAAGATCACATCGGAGAACTTCAAGTGCTTTACCAGAATCAATGGGTTGATGTTCCTCCTACGCGTGTTGCTCTTATGGTCAACATTGGAGATTTTCTGCAAGCTAGTTTTCTTTTTATTTTCTAATCCATGTACGATTGATAAGAGTGAATATACCATTTGCTTATTTTGGTTGCTTTTTTCAGATCATATCAAATGATAAGCACATAAGTGTAGGACCAAGAGTATCAGTACCATGCTTCTTCGGCACAGATTCAATATCATCTTCCAATCTTTATAGATCGATTTCTGAATTGTTGTTAGAAGATAACCCTTCAAAATATCATGCAACCATAGTGAAAGACTATCGTGAGTACTTCTATACGAAAGGTCTAGATGGAACTTCTGCATTGTTGCGTTACAAGATCTAATCTTAATGTAATTGCTGAGTTTATAATGAGAACTGAGAAGTTTTCTTTGGATGCTTGTTATTACCTATTGAATTGTATCGTCTTGTTATTTTAAATACAACGTTTGTTTGTAAAGACAACTTAAGTTTTGTTGTATTGTGTTGTTAAATCCTTTGTTATGTAATGACAAAAAGTCCCATCTATATATGTAACAAATGATTTAAAAGCCTTGAGGCTGGTTTCAAAAGGAAATGTTGATGCTAGAAACACCGAAGTGCCATGAATATTCGTTCCACCAACTAAAACAGAGGAATCTCTAAGCAGTTGTGAAACAAAGTTCATTTTTCCAGTGATAGATCCAATTAAACATAAAGAGATTGTGGAGAAAGTTTGAGAGGCATTGGAGACATGGGGTATAAATTCTTCCAAGTAATGGATCATGTCATTCCATTAGTTTTCCTATTGTATAGGGTGAAAATCAATTGAATACATGTGGCACTTGAGGGAAAGAACAAAGAGACCCGGGAAGGTTTGTTACATGAGAAGGCATTCTCGATAAAGGGAAAGCAAAAAAAATGCTACAGGCTTAGGAAAGTTCGGAAGCTTATGACGTGGACAAAGAGACAAAGGGGGACAAAATGTTAGAAAGATCAGGTTCGTGGAGGAGCTCTCTCACGACCTGAGTCTACATCCTGGGCGTGGCCGACACTCAAGAACCATTGCTGGTCCCCAAGCGAACCCTCATCCTGGCTGACTACAAGCGGAAAACTAACTTAACTCAAATGAACAACTTAGAATAAATATAATATATTCAACTCTCCATAAAATAGGCAACTTAAGTCTTTAAAACATTTAATAAAATAAATGATAAATAATATAGACTTCTTAACTATACTGACTATCTATGAAGCCTCTAACTGATAAAGATGGAAGTCGGGACAAGACCCACGACATCCTGACTAAACTGAAAAGTAAATGAAATCCTCCGAAAACAAGGAGGCTCACCATAGCTAACTTGAACTTCCGGATGTATCAACGAATTTCCTGTTGATGATCCTGAACACCAGTGTCTGCATCATGAAAAGATGTAGGCCAAATGGATCAGTACGTTGAATGTACGAGTATGTAAGGGGAATTCTAAAACATAAACATAAGCTTGAAACTTGATAAAAGAGGAAACATACTTACCTCTTTTCAAACTCACTCAACTCAACTCAACTCAAGGATTAGATACTCAACTCAAGGATAGGATACTCAACTCAAAGATTAGATACTCAACTCAAAGATATGATACTCGACTCTCGATACTCAACTCAATATAAAGCAACAATACACATGCAATATAATGAAAGCTTTTAAAACAGTAAAAACAACTTAGTTCGTTAAAGAAAATACAATAACAAACTCAACTTTACTTATATAATAAAGTAATACCATGAAAGATATACCATGCTCCCTCTCAAAGTCTACTTGTGTAATGTATGAATGAAGTCGCATACCCCCATTCATACTAAGCAGAACCCCTTGAAGAACCATGAAATTACTGCTGTGGGAATTTCTCTAACTGATAACCATCACTTAAGAACTATAGTGATGATACAACATTATTAGCCCCACGCTGCTCGGGCCATCATATACCTTGCCGTGATATAGGACCTGAACTACTAAGTGGATCCACTAGTCTATGCTAAAAAGCACTAAGGGTTCATCTAAAAAATATGACCCTTTTCTACCCATGATGGCTATATGATTTATGGAGACTTGAGTTATTATGAACCCGCGTCCCCATATCGGTGCTCAATACTACTCCCAAAATATGATACTAGCTCTTTATGGTTAAAAACATATTTCTTCTGTGATTTGAGATAATCATTCAAAAACATAGCTTAAAAGCTCTCTTGGAATCGATGTTCCCTTTCTTTTTCAAAACTCTCTTTTTGAAAATCTCAATTTTCTCTCATCTTAAATGTGAAACCATTTACTCTTGGGAATACTTAGTTCCCATATATCATTTTAAAGAAAATGAACTATATTCTTACTCTTTACTCAACTTCAAATATTAAGTCTTAAAACAACATTAAAACATTTGTAAAAGACTTCTTAAAATATGGTCCATGCCGATTTATGGATGTGAACGACTCAATGCAAGGTTTTCAATAACCAATGATAGAACTCAATATTTGGAACTCAAGAACTTCAATGATACTATTCATTTCAAGATTGCTCAACTTAGAGGGTTCATGTAGAATTATGAGCATGAACTACTCAACTCAAGGACTCAAAGATACTTCTCATCTCAAGACTTTTCGACTTATAGGGTTTATGCGGAATTATGGGCATGAATTATTCAACTCAATTCAAGGGTCAAAATATTAATAAGGAACTCATGTATATGACTCTTCTCATTCTCATACTTACTTACTCAAAACTTAACTCAAATTGATGGTTGATTTCAATGGATTAACAATCGAACTCAAGGACTTTCTTGAACTCTACTCTTAACTCTCTGTTGAATGTGAATTATGAATTCAAGAGTTATGGTTCAGTACTGGAAAGATCTCGTGATGACAAAGTAGACTCATGAACACATTTTCCTCAACCTCTTACTCACTTACTCGACCCTTGAAATAAATTACTAGAAGTTGTAGAAGACTCCTCAAACGGGCTCAAAGAGACTTTATTAGAATGTTCGAATGAATTCTCAAAACTTAACCCTTAACAATACCTTGAATTTGAATTATGGATTCAGGGGTTATGCTTCAGAATGTAGGACCTCTGAATGTTTTAGGAGGGTTAAGATAGTTGATCACAAGAACGGGAGCAGACCCAAATTAAAGGACACTGGCGCGACGCGAAGATGGAATTAAATCTTGGATCGCAAAAAGAAATTTTGGGACAGTGGACTCCGTATCCTCTCCGTGACGTGGAGAGGGGGGTACTTTTCGGTGGATGATACGCTCAAATTACAGCTCCCTAAAGAAGCATAATCGATCATTATCAAGTAAAGAACCCAACTTGTAGGTTGGGGTCGATCCCACGTGGAAAATGGTTTAGACATAAACTTAACTTACAATTATATTCGTTTAGTCAAATTACTTCCAGAGACAGGTTATTAAAGGGGGGGGGGGATTTGTAATACAAATTGTAAGAATTCAGTAATTAATCAGTAAACAAAAGTCAATTTTGGTTGTTATCAAGATGAGAGAATTAACTAGGGTATACGTGTTCTCTACAAGTTCATAACGCGGTAATCCTAGTAATAGCTATCCTTTCCTAGTGTATTACATGCAAAGTGATAAGCTAGGTATCTCTATATCCTTGGTCCGACATCTAGATAATTTCAACCCACACCTTGGTCCGGCTACGTGTGTATAATTTACTAACCCTTACCTGTACCTCATATTAGACATCACATCGATGTTTGGCTTAGTTATTACTTCGCACTAATCGACACTAGACTATTATATAGTATCACACTAAATCTATGTTTGATAATTCTTTTCTTGTTGATTACCTCCTTGGTCCGGCAAGTAGCAATAAGGGGAGTTCTAACGTTGCGCACCGTTAAAAACACTTTTAAACGAAAGAATTATCAATGCATGCAAAACACTATTCAAGAATTGATTATTTACTATTCATACTTTGTAATCACTCATGGTTCCCACAACCCTAGTTGTGGAGTTTAGTTACCCATAATCATATGAACACAATTCATTGTTTTAGATGAAAGAATTATGAACTTACGTAATTGAGAATAACAAACCCCTAATTTCAAGTTGAATTTCAATACCAAAATCTTCAAAACCAACTTAGGAAATCAAAAATTGCTAGGTTTGCAAAAATTCTCCTAAGTCACAAAGTAGAACTAAAGTAATAAAATCTACCCCCAGAAATGAGGTTTACATATCCTATATATAGAAAAAATAAGTCCTGACTAAAAAGGAAACGAAATAAGGAAATAATGTTTCAGGACGCGTCGTTAATCTACGAGACTGACCTACAGACCATGGATGGATCTACGGTCCGTAGGTCCTTCCGTGACCCAGGACTTGGACAAATTTTCAATTCCCAAAAACCAGCATCTCTGAAGCAAACGACGGAACTAACCGTATGGACCGTAGATTGATCCACGGTTTGTGGATCCTCCTCCATAGCTCCACACTTAGAATCTTCAAAATCAGGTACTAGAACCCTTCTCTGAATCATTCAACGGATCAACAGTATGGTCCGTAGATCAATCTATGAACCGTCAATGGCCACCGGGGTTCCACACTTGGTCAGATTTCCCTGATTTCCTTCAATGCCTTGCCTGCTCATTTACGACACCCATCTACGGAACGTGAATGGACCTATGGTCCGTAGATCACCTCCGTAGATGCCCTTTTCTACACATCTTTCAGCTGTTTCTCTCACTTTCTGTGTCTGAACATATTTCCTGCAAACATGATAAGAATACATAAAAACCAATACAAATGGCCCTAGATACACAACTCTTAAGTGAAATGTATTAAAAATACCGTAAACTCATGGTATATCAACACCCTCAAGTTAAATTCATTGTTTGTCTTCAAGCGACGCACTAAGACTCTTAACGACACTTGTATAGAAGCAAGCAATTCAAGCTCAAGCAATCACATGGCTATATATCCCGACTCTCTTTTTTAGTGCAAATCTTTTCGACTCAACAAGCTAACTCATGCGGATCAAAATATCACAAAGATCGACCAATCAACACACAACATTCACTGTTTTACTATCACCAAGGTATCAACTTTCCGACAATGTAACTAGTGCCCTTACTTCAAATGAAATCTTTTTCACACAATGAATATGATTTTTTTTGAGTACAATGATTCATTCAACACTCACACTCAAAAGTAATTTCAAGTACAGTTAGTGCTCAATGCCTTAGGTTTGCCCTTATTTTCACTGCTTAGACTCTCCAAACTAGTTGCTAGGATCACTATCAGACTTTCTTGGCTTGTAACGTAGGTTCAGGGTCAGGTATGGTACATTTGGGT